GCGTCCCGTATTCGTTTTCGAATCGTTCCATTAAAGGGGTCAGCGCGACCACATTGAGGACCGCGTGAACAACGCTCGAGTGAATCAGTGGAAAAGTCGACAATCGATATGCTATGCAAAGTGTTAGGCTCGGCTTCAGGCGCAAATGGCCAACACTTTTCAAGGAGAAAATTACCTGTTGCGAAAGTGACTTTGTCTGGTATTAACGAGCCCCATTGATGCAGATCCCACAGCGACGGAATGCTAAGTATCCAGAATACAAGTATGGCTATTATGATCGCTCGAGTAAATAAAGGCAGTCGGAAAATGTACGACCGAGCACGCAAGGTGCTGAAGCCTCGCATCGCGGGCATCGCCACGGTCCTCGAGTGATCTAGTACTAAAGATCGACGGTGTCGACAGCCGAGGGAAGAGTCCTTGAAGAATACTACCTGCAAATGCAGAGCAAAACAAGTCGAAAGTGAAAGCACGAGGAGGTAGACGCGCAGTGGTTTATCGTTCAACGTCCTGCCATGTCTCGGAATTGAGATACAAAACCGTTGCTCCCACTGGAGTACATGGAGCAATGCTATTCCGATCCGGGCAAGTAAGGGTCACGTTGCTTGATGATGGTCGCTTGGCTGTTTTCTTCTGGGAAAGGAGATGATGACACAGGGCATCCGAGTAGTGGCCCACTTAGCGAACCCCGGTATATGCAACCCGACCATATTCCCCAGGTAGTTACCTAGGAAGGTGAGCAAACGTTAACCATTGACCGTGATTGCTGCACATGCAACAGGGCCCTACGGCCGACTTGTTGCCAGTTCAAGAACAAGAGCTACCTGAGCGAGTCTTGTCGCACAGTCCACCGACATGTCGAGGTTGTTGTGTAAGTATCCTTTGATTCCCTCATACGTATTTGATCAATTGGGAGCACATCCCTAGCTTCTAACATGGATACATATCTGTCTTCAGCATCAGCGCTTTCCTTACGGCGGGATCCACGCATGCTCAAATTACCGCCATATCTCTCCCTGGTTTGTATCCTAGTTGGAGCTATCTGGCTCTTTTTGTTGCCGCTCGACAATTACTCCCGGCGCACCTATATCTCTGAGAATGCCTTGCTTCCGGGTCAGGTACATACATATTTTGGCGGCAGCGAACACAATATCTTCAGGGCATATAGACGGGAACTAGATACATTGGTTAATGAGAGCAACTACGAGTAAGTTGCAATCCAATTCAAGCAGAGAATGAATTGGCCAAGAATCTATGAACTTACTATCGAAGCATCAACAATCACCTTGAAGTCATTCTCGGTACCGCTGGTATTAAAGTCGGTAGACAGAACTATACCTACAATTCCGCAGGCAAAACGTACAGTGGCGAGAATGTATACGGGATTTTGCAAGCTCCCAGGGGGGATGCCACCGAGGCAATAGTTTTGGTGGCTGCTTGGAACAGCGTTAATGAAACATTCAATGGAAACGGCGTTGCTCTTGCCATCACCCTCGCCCGCTACTTCAAGCGTATGTTACTAGGTCTGACCCATTTAAGCAGAAACCATGACTGTTTACCGGGCTAAGAAATATCACAGGCTGGTCACTTTGGTCGAAAGACATCATAATTATGATACCTCCCGACAGTCGAACCGGGACTCAAGCTTGGGTGGACGCGTACCATGATGCGCACGACTCCAACAACGTTGCTTCATTGCCGCTGAAATCAGGTGCACTTCAGGGTGCAATCGCTATTGACTACGCCGTGGATCAAGGATTCGACGGTATTCACATCATTTACGATGGCACCAACGGGCAATTGCCCAACCTCGACCTTATAAACTCAATCGTCAATATCGGCGGGGGCCAAATGGGAATGCAGACGGCAATACAAGGCATGCACCATCATAATGATTCCTACCGAGACCGGCTTATGACGATGCTGCGGGGAATGTTGAAACAAGGCTTGGGCATCTGTGCCGGACCTCACAGCAGTTTTATACCGTATCATGTCGATGCCGTAACACTTCAACCGTATGGTGAAGGTTGGCACGATGAAATGGCCATGGGACGTGTTATAGAAGGCACATTCCGGAGCTTAAATAATTTGCTGGAGCATCTCCACCAAAGCTTCTTCTTTTACCTGCTTATGCAGAGGGATCGCTTTGTTAGCATTGGTACATATCTGCCGAGCGCTATGCTCCTTGCCGCTAACTTCACGATCATGGCTATTTTTCTGTGGGTAAAGAGTGGACAACCCGCTGCACAGGTCCAAATGCTGGTGGCAGCAGCCTCTGAGAAATCAGCTCCAGCAAAATCAAAATTCAGCCAAGCTCCGGAAAGCCCGTCTGCTATCAACTCTACCGAGCGAGATCTTTCTCTTCCTCTGGGGATTGTGGCAGGCTGTCATGCTGCATCTGTGATTCCTCTTTTCATCCTAAGCAATGTTCCTGCAACAGTATGTATACCGAAATATCCTTGCATTTCCGGACAAGCCACAAAAATCCTGTCGTTTTGTAGTTGTCACTGACGCTGAGCCAACAATTAGTTTCTACCAAGTTCATTGGTCATGTTTTGCATCTTCTCTGCCCTGCTTCCATTCATCATATCGTATCTTCTTCCTGTATACTTCACACAAAGGACGCAACACTTTCAGCTGACTAAGTCGCTGTCTCTGCTCGTCCTTGGAATGGCTTTAGCGACGCTGGCTACACTGAACTTCTCGTTGGCATTCTTGGTGGGCGTACTTGCCAGCCCATTAACGTTTATACAACCATGCAAGAACACTATTTCCAAATATTTTGTTGTTGCCTTGCTCAGTGCAGTGGCACCACCGGTGGTTGTGTATCCAGCAACTCATCTTGCCGGCTCATCTGTCGCTGAATTCTTGCAGCAGGCTAGTTTTGGGTGGAATGTATGGGCCGTGTATACGCCTGTTGTGATTTGGTGTATATGGTGGCCGGCCTGGCTAGTTGCGATGACGAATGTCCTCTCTGGGACTCCCGACGCTGAAACATTCTCGTCGGAGAAGAAATAAGCAATCTGCTCATCGGAATATTCACTAAGGAAATAGCATTGCCTTTATCAATGTACATTTTTTTTCTACCGTCTGAGATGTCTATATCTTACCATTGCTGGTGGTGGTAGATGAACGATGATGTAAAGAACTACGAATAGCCCCGCCTATGCCAGGATATGTCAGGACAAGTTCCACTGGTCCAAAACCCGTTTTAGAGTACATAGTCAACTTGATGCCTCATTCAGAAAATCAGTCGTGATTTAAGCAGCCCAAACATCTTTTCCGGCGGTCTCGATCCAGTTACCGAGCTGATTAACGTTGGAGTCCCAGTCGAGCAGACGTTGGCGCATGTTGCCTATTTGCTTCATGTCAAGCACCTTCGGCTGTACCCAAGTGATGTGCGCCACCTCATCCACTTGGTCAATTGTTCCCCGTAACAGACCAAGACTTAAAGCTTTCATGACCAAATGCTCAATCTCCTTCTGCTTGACCTTTGTCTCGTGTGAGATTGTAGAGAAGGTCATGGTACGATCGTGTGGAGGCCGTCGAAAGACGGCTTCGGTGAGCGCAGCAAGATAAATCTTTTGTCGTAGATGCGCTGAATGTTCATTTAGTAGCTTGTTAGATGCAATGTTGTCGGACAGAGCATCGAATGCTATAAGATCGCCCCGGTTAAACGCGAACAACAGCTCGCGGAGCCAAGAGTCGTCCTCGCTTTCGGCAAGGGAATCGAGAATCGGATGAAGCAAAAGCTCTCCGAAGTTATAGATGCTGCTTGACACCAAGGCTGCAACACTTAGATAGTAGGCTCGTCTGTGACGTTCCTCACTTGAGAGAGATGCCAAGTCGATGCAAGCGAGGTACAGAAGCGATGTACGATAGTAATTTGCAAAGTCCATTTTTCTCTACCAGACATCGTTAGTTAATGCTGGGATATTGCCACCTGAAAAAAAAGCATACCTGATAATAGTTTGCGTTAGCGTCATAGAATGCCGCGTGGACTACAGTCTCTACTGAGTCGAAGGTATCCAATATCTTCTCGGCAGCATCCAAGTCTCGTCGTGCATCGTCCAGTCTGTTGAGATTGAGCTTCACACGGGATACGGCCACAGACGCAAATACGAGAGCGTCTTGTGATGTATCGTTATCGACCTTTTTCACTACAGATAGTAAAAAGGATAAGCGTTCGTGGTCATCTTTTTGAAGTCGATTAGCCATAACATCCGTTCCCCAAGTTCCATTATGTATATACCTTGACACTGCGTCGCGGCTTTTAAGGCAAGGTCTACCAGCTTGAGCTGGTTAATTTTATCCGCAAACTTTAGGATGAACACCTTATGGAAGGCCAAACGCTGAGGTGCGCTTTTGGGGTGGTTGAAGAATTGCACGAGCGAGTCTGTGAGCTGGTGCCATAGCTTGCGCTCCCAGAATGTTTCGAAGTCAAGTATCAGGGGCTGCAGCTCTTCCGGTGCCTTGTCTCTTTGCTCCGCGAGGAAATCTGGGATCGATTCGACGGCCATGGTAACCGGGTCGGGTATTGATTGCACCTTTTCTATCCGAGCAGCAAACTGCTAGTCAGAACAGAAGATGTAACTTGGTTTAAGGTCCTAAATGCCAAGGTTTGTCTTTTTTTTTGTCACTTTCTTTCTGCGGCACCGGCGGCGATGCTAGCGACTGGCGCCAAAAGGAACAAGCAATGAAAGCTTGGTATCGCGGTGGAGGGTTGAAGAACGCAACAAGGCCTAGGTGTTGTGTCTCAAGGACGCGGCCACCAGGAGCCTAGAGCAAAGCATCTGAGCTGCTGGGAAGAACTAGGTGGGGCACAGTCCGCCAGCCAAGGAGTTAACCACATCTAGAGTACCCGTGACCTTACACGTGAGTGGTGCTCCCCCCAAATATCGATTCAACCGAGTAACTATCGCGCGACATAGCTTCTTGTGTCCAGGTTCAAGGTCGTCAAGGAGAGTGACTACTTCTCTTACCTCTAGCCTGGAACTGCAAAGATGTCCTATCCCCTGTACGCCGCACGGTCAGCCCGTCAAGCTACTCATAATGCAATTTGCCGACGTTTCGCCTCCGATATTTCGGTCACAAGAACCGGCAAACCCATTCTCCGAGTAGAAGGTGGACGGTTAGTATTACCACTAGTCCAAATAATCGCATCTCGCTGACCTATTCTCTGCTCTAGATCGTCCCTTGGAGGTATTAACATGCGTGCTACTCTACTTGAATGCAATGCTCACGGCTGGTGAAGGTCACACTGCAACAGTTTTCGGCGCAACTGGGCAATTGGGTCGGTATATCGTGAATCGATTGGGTAAGTTTTATGGCTTTTTATGACTTCAGTTGCCAGATAGTGAGATGCAATCTAACTTCATGAAGCTCGCCAGGGTTGTACAGTTGTCGTACCATTTCGTGAAGAAATGACGAAACGCCATTTGAAGGTGACAGGTGATCTTGGTCGCGTCGTCTTTGTCGTATGTTGAGTTCGCTTCCTTCTTCAGTGTCAAAGAACCTCTCCCCCTAAGTGATCTTGGAATAGGAATATGACTTACGGAACACGCCGTCGATCGAAGCAAGCGTCCGACATTCCGATGTTGTCTATAACTTGATTGGCCGAGACTATCCTACAAAGTGTGTTGCAAACCATCAGTCGCATGTCATACGCATAGCTAAGCCCTGGATCAGGAACTTTTCTCTCAATGACGTCCACGTGGAGGGCACCGAACGAATCGTCGAAGCAGTCGCGAAATACGATGTTGATAGATACATTCATGTCTCCTCTCACAGCGCCAACCTGCAATCTGCCTCCGAATTTTACGCCACCAAGGTCAGTCATTTCTCATTTCCTTTCTGGTCTTGCTGAGCTGAACCTCACACGCGCTATTTGTCTCAGGCTCGGGGCGAACAAGTGGCCAGACGTATTTTTCCGGAAGCTACTCTCGTTAGACCAGCACCAATGTTCGGTTTCGAGGATAACCTCCTACTTAAACTTGCCTCTGTTCTTAACCTTTTCACTGCCAACAATATGCAAGAAAAATTTTGGCCAGTCCACGTAAGTTCCAACCCTTCCCTTGCGGACCTGATTGAATGATAATGATACTTTCGTAGTCAATCGATGTCGGCGCCGCATTGGAAAAAATGCTCTACGATGATTCCACAGCCGGTCAAACATTCGAACTTTATGGACCCAAAGAGTATAGCATGAGACAAATTGCTACTATGGTGGATAAAGAAATCTATAAGCAGAGACGCCATATCAATGTTCCCAAACGCATCCTCAAGTCAATTGCTGGAATGTTGAACAAAACGCTTTGGTGGCACACAATGTCGGCAGACGAGGTTGAGCGCGAGTTTATGGACCAAGTTATCGACCCCACGGCTAAGACTTTTAAGGATCTTGGTATTGAACCGGGAGATATTGCAAACTTCACATATCACTACCTGGTTGGTCCTTCATGATGTGTGCAACGCTCTGCATTCGATAGCTAACGTCACTCTAGCAAGGATTCAGAAGCCAGAACTACTACGACTTGCCCCCCGCAACAGAAAAGGAGAAACGAGAGGACAAGAAGTATATTCATGTGCTGGATGAGCTGTAGCTCAGCATCGCAAGTCCGAAGTAGGGAAACCTTCGAAAACATGCCAGAGACTTCCTTGGAGTCTCTGTGAAAATTTGAGGTTTTAGCAATACCATACCCATGGGAAAGACATGTATATAAGACAGCCCCAGCTGGGTTAGTGTGTCGCATCTTGTTGTACAGTTTTCTTTTCTCCCATTTGTCGTTGTTAGAGCTTCCCCATTGGCTATATGGCCTTTGTGTGATCATTGAAAGCAATTACAGGCTTGCTAGGACACATTAGTCATGAAGATCGCAGTAATATTGTAGAGTGGTTCGTGCGGAGTTGGGAAAGCTTCCAAAGCCTGCCGGATCACAATCGCATGCAAGATATTATATAAAATGTGCCAAAGGCGATCTTTTGATGCCCTTTGATTTCATCCACGCCATCCTGCTGTCCGCTTTTCTTCATAGACACTAAAGTTCCTGGGTTCATACGCCAGAACGTTGAGTGACTGGCAATTGGAGTGCCTATCTATTACTCGTAGCTAGTAGGATGCTACAGAGTGTACCCCCACAAAACGGTGGAGCTAAGCCGGTCAGACTCTCATTTACCCACCCACACTCCTGGTGCGAAGTCCTGATAAATCCAGATTGAGCTATATCTTTCGTTGTCGCTACTGGGCCTGAGATTGCTCTTGGTATACGGAGTACCTACGCATAAATTGACCCCTACTTACACTCATTATGGAAGATAACGATGAGCCAATGTGAGCATTTCATCCCTCGAGTGTTTGTGGTCACCGAAGTAACAAAGTTTACTTGGCTCAGAACTCTCTCTGCCCATGCTCTTGCAGCTTTGGCCGAATTTAACGCCGAAAGAGATGCCCATCAGTCCAAATACCAAGAATTGAAAGCTCAGTCTGAAGATTACGCACAACTCTCTATGACGGCCTTCACAGAAGACTGGAATGAATCACAATTTTGGGTATGTTTCTGGGCGGAGGTTCATTATTGCCACTCAAGTCGTACTTAGGAGCAAACTGGCCAAAATCGGTAATGTTTGTTGTACACATAACTACGCCATAGAGCTATTGTTAACTCTTGGCTTTTTGCCACAATGAGCTATAGTACTCCGACGAAACAGCTGAAGTATTAGCCAATGAACTACTGGAAGCATCTAACCCGAAGACACGCATTGGTGTTGTATCGGCACCAAGCGTATTTATAGCACTTCGCAATATATTAGTGAGTATTCCCCTCTCGCTCTCCTCACAACTTGTCAGGCAGATCTTGAGAAACAGAATAGCTGACCATCTTACCCAACTTGCCATGGCCTTGCCCTGGCTGTGGGTATTTATTCAAGTAGCGAAAACTCCCGGCGAGTGATCGTCCAAAGATCGTTCTCTTAGAGCATGATCCTCGTTTTGGGGTGTTTCCCGAATTTGTCTACTATGACTTCCAGCAACCTCTAAAGCTTCCCAGTAAGTCTCAGAAATAACCATTTGAATGATTCGGACTCAGTCCATCGACTCGGCTCTTTGTGTGTGTTCAAGACTCCGGTCTTCCCAGTTGAACACGTATGCACCACACTTATTTCTGGTTAACAAAGCTGACATACCAGGTAGATGAGTTGAAGGGAAGTCTAGACTGTATCATATGTGACCCACCATTTCTTAGTGAAGATTGCCAGACAAAAGGTGTGTATGGAGCTGTTGGGTCCTTTGAATCTACGTTTGTCTCTAGCACTTTAACATATCTTCTTCTTCTAATCGTACATACTACCTTTTACAGCTGCTCTTACTACCCGATGGCTTCTGAAGACTTCCGAATCCGGTTCCCAAAAGCCAAGAGTCATTGTTTGTACCGGAGAACGAATGAAGGACCTAGTGACCCGAGTTTATCGACCCCTAGGCGTACTCGCTACGACTTATGAGCCGAGGCACGCCAGAGGCTTGAGCAACGAATTCTATTGTTACGCAAATTTCGAATGTTCATCATGGCTTTGGAGACCCTGAACTCTTTCACAAGCCACATATCGTCCAATAGCACCCGGGAGTCTCACTCTGCTTTCTGTATCTTTCTTTCTTTTCTAATCCAACCAGATGAAGAGTTAGGTAATACTGAAACCAGAAACGGCACTACTAGACATTATCGGATCTGGAAACGTCTTATTGCACATGAAAGGCGTGCGAAGATTAATGGAGTATTATACCTCGAACTCTCCAATATTCTCCGCTGCCCGCCTCGAAAAGAGGGGGGGGGATTATTCAAGGGATCTCGAGTTAGTTTACATACGGGATTTGCCGTTGGCAGTCTATAAACCAAAATACACAATAGTTTCCATGGCTTTTAGGCTAAAGAGCGGATGATATAAAACAGCAAATAAGCCTGAGCCCCCAAAACTTCAGAAATTGTAGCCAGCTCCACTTTATGATCGTTGAATTTGAACCACTGTGAATAGCAAACTCATCAGCTTTAGACGCTTTGGAGTGGAATTACAGGTCGAGAATGATAATCTTACCTGATCGCCGACACGACAGTACGATACATAATGACCAGTCTCGATTTCTCCGACGTGCACTATAACACTCAAGAGATCATACATACATGATCTCTCCAACTCCAAGGTTTCGCGGTTATCCCGGCTGCGACCTCTGTTCGTATAAGGCAGCATGTTCAGTTGCAACGGAAACTGAACCGTGTGGTCGATCTTGGATGCGGCTCGATCATGTCTGCCTTGCTTGTATTCAAAACGCTGAAGAGGCGTATTAGCCATCAACCAAGCACTGATTCCCGGAATGAAGTTGTTACCTTAAGCTGTATCGAAAGGACGTTGGGTAGTCGTTTGATGCTTGTATATCTCTTTGCTTGTTGAGTGGATGAGCAGCTGTGACACCTATACTCGCATTTGTCAAATTTGACATATTCCTCATCTAGACAATCATTCAATGTCAAAACTGGTGCTTTTTGTCCAGTTTTCTTGGCCTTTCGCTGCATCAAAGTGTCCAAGCCCAAGCTGAGATCTAAGAAAGACTGTACTGTGTTTGTGGTGCCTTTGCAGTTCTGGCAAGTTGTTGTCGTCTGCATCTTACCATAAAATGTTTGATGAATGATACAGTTGCAACTATGCTCGGAACCAATCTCTGGTCTCTTTCCGTCACCATTGCGCTCATGAAGTTCCTCTGCCAGAAACTGGAAAAACTCATGAGCATCTTGCTCCCTCGTAGTGACAAGATTTTCAAATGCCTTTTTCTCCGATATCCAGAAGCCTGATAGTATGTTTGCGGCAGTGTACCCGTTGGTGTTCTCCAGAGCGTAAAAGTCTTGAAACATGTCATCCATAGCGCAGCTTAAGCAGTGTGAAACAGTACAGTCATTGCTCTGATGCCCATCACTAAGATAAAAATTTCTCAATAGTGGGTTATGCAGAAAGCTTTGAAGAACAACATTTTGATAGCAGGTGGCACCTGCATTGTAAATGCCTCGTAGGCCATTGGCTCGACAAGACGCTGTTGTTGTGTTAGAACTGATATAGCGGGGATCGTCCTTAATAGAATCAGTAAAAAGTTCGTCGTGCTTTCTCTTTCGTCCTTTACAATATGCCAAGGTCAGTTTCCAACGAAAGACCTGTGCATGAGCTTGAAAAGGGAGGCTGACCTGAGAATGAACCTGTCCCGATCTTGCGCACACGAAGTTCTTCTAACGTCGGGTCCCACACGAGGTCATCACATATCTGGCAATACAGAGATCCGCTTCGGGAATCCACATCTAATACCAAGTCAGTTAACCAAGCAGTCGCTAGGAATTTTCGACTTCGAACTTACAGAACCTGTGAGATTTTTTTGTTCCATGTCTAAGACGGTCTTCTTCAGTGACAGTAGTTGGACACTGGAGGCAGAGATAGTTCGATGTCAATGATGTAATTGGTCGACCTTCCTGGTTCGTTGATGTCTGAGGGACAATCGGGGTCGAGTCGAAGATACCACGGAGTATCATTTTGTAATGTGCAATGGAGCTATTCATGACTTCTTGACCCTGGGACAGTAGAAGTTGGACATGTTCTATATTACCGTTAGAACATGTCACCCAATGATTGCATATTCAATATTGAGCGTATTTCCATACCACACCCAAACATTGGTATTCCAGGAACCGGTGACTTGACTTTGGCATTCTTCGGAGAGGCCGGTGTCGTAGGACGCGTAGACATCTTTGATATACGGGAATTGTTTATAGCAGTGCTAGTCAAAAGGTAGGTTGCAACTTGCTATGATAGTAGTCTCGCATTAGATTGTTCCGAATGGCCACTCGTGATCGCTGGCAAGCTGTCGTAGCAACGCTCGAGGTTCGCAGAAACGAGTCAACGAAAATCTCTGGGCTAGACTCGTTAGCTCAAGTTGGAGTTTTGGGGTGGGAAAACCATGCTCACGTAAGAACAACATGAGCTCGTTGTTCGCTCGTAGTAGTGAATTTATGGCGGAGTTCCAAGCTTGACATCAAACAACGGGTGCACCGATCGCCGACGTATTGAGGGGAAATAAAGGCGGCCAGCCTAAATTCAACCCAGAATCTCTTGTTTGCCTTCCGAGGCTTCAAACCGAAGCGTGTAGCTTGCTTGGGGGGATGGAATGTCATAGGAAGGTCGCTAATGATGAGCCGCTAGGAACGCTAACCTGCAATCGATAAAGAGAGGCGGCCGATGAGTAGCCCACGCTGGACTGCGGCAGCCAGAGTACTTAAGTTCCTACCTACCTACGCGCGCGGCCCCTAGTTTTAGTAATAATATAATTACTATAAGATAAGTCTTAAATATCTTTGAAGCATTATTTATTATAAGATAATTAATTAAAAAATTTTACTTAATATATAAACTTTTAATAATTAATAATAATTTAAGACTTATCTTAGAATAGTTTTACTATTACTAAAACTAGGGGCTGCGCGCGTAGGTACCTACTCACCAGGTACCTACTAGGTAGAGGGTATCTATAGACGGAACGAACTGCATATGAACCCAAAAGATAGGAGTACGAAGGCTACCTAGGTAGGTAGCTTGGGATATTTTAGCATTAATAGACCTGTTTTTCCACACAAGCCAATTTAATTTATGTCACATCCCCTAAATGCAGCGAAGGCCGCAGTGAGGTCGCGACAGGGAATTTAAGCCAATTAAAAACCAGAAATCAAAAGATACTAAATCTTACACTTGATTTACATGATAATAAAATGTTACGAACGATACTACACAAGACACGGGATGGGATCGCACCGGCTAGGACAGGTATAACTTA